TTCTTTTCTGCTCTATTAGGTCCCAGAGGTATTGAAGAGGCCAATGGATTTGTAAATTGAATTTTATTCCGTGTCTCATGATGATGTTCAAGATGGTTCAGGGATCAAGACTGTGGAAGCCATGAGATCAAAATATGGTTTATTTGGAGAAAACTCAAATTGGACAGAAGATTAAGCATTGACCTCTGAAAACAGATGCTTGCAATATGACTTGTGAGCCTTCATGGTCCCAACGAAGAATCAGCCAGTCCCATAACTGTACACACTCAAATATATATTATATCCAAAATATAGATAAGATATGAATGTATAAATTTCTACTCATTGTCATTTATACTTGAACTTCCACTGCCCCTCTCTCAGTTATTACTTATTAAGTAGGGAAGGGGAAGGATCCACTCAGCCGACCTATTAATTATTGAGAAATTACTTGCTGGATTAAAATATATATATGTGTGTATGTGTGTGTGTGTTCTTCAAAATTATCACAATCTTGTTGCGGCACCATTTTCTTTGAAAAAGATTTAAACTTAAAATAAGAGGGCAAGAAAAGTATTTATTTATATATATAAATGAATAATTTTTGTAGTAAAAAATTGGAATTACCAACCTTCTCTTCTTTCCAATGCCTTACGCCCTACTTGTGTGAAAGATAGTTTTAGAAAAGTTTCTGAAAGGTATTTTATATTTTTCTTTTATTGTTCGTTGAACTTCAATATATCTTGTCTATTTAAGCATAATATATATTACCTTGTAGAACACTTCCTCTTTCTTCCTTTCCGATTGCTGCAAGGATTCTGCCTCCTCTTGCCGACCTACTGCGGCTGAAAGTCCTTTTTTCCCGCAAGGACTTGCTGCTGGAACAACTCCTTCCGCTAGGATTTCTGCTTCTGCCGTGCCTTTGCTGCGTGATTCTTCCTCAACATCCTAGCTCTATTGTATGCATTTTTCAGCTTCCTACTTTGGCCACTAAAAGTAAGTGAGTGTTTTTTAATCTCTTGTTTCTTTCTCCCTCTTGTGTATGAATAGTTAATTTTTTAGTTTTAAAAAAATTTGGCCACTGAAAGTGTAAATAAAATAAAGCTATGAAACCAATACATTTCCTTAATTTTTTTTTTTTTTGTCTTGATGACCATTATTTCGTTTTTCTAAAACATAAAATACCATTTGTTCTTCAGTTTAAGGAATTATATTACTTGTTATTTTATGCCATTGTCCTCTTGAATTTATTTTCGTGAAAAGAAATAAACTTATAAGAAATGGAAATATTAAAAGTGTAAATAAATTAAAATAATTATTAGTAGTAGTTAACGAAGTCATTTGAGCCACGAAAGCCCACGCGCGGTTTAAGCCACGAGATTGTATACCTGGTAATTAAAATAGTCCTCTTGAATTCATAATCAAGTAGCATTAACAGCACATGGACCCTCTTAACCCGACACTAAAGCCCACGCATGTAGTTTAAGCCACGAAATCATTTTTATACGTGTTTCGAAGCCCGTCATTCTTTATTAGAGGACACCTTGTAGCAGATTTGTTAGGCTAGACTGTGCCCGAAGCGAAACAATTACTTGGTTATGACTTAATTTTTTGTTTGGGGGGATTTTATGGGATAAATCTGAGTCCGTTGATTTTATTTAAAATAATCTTATTTTAATCTTGATGTAATGAGATTTGATTAGATTAACTAGATAGTAACTCAATCAATAAAATTACTCGTGTTTGATTACATTAATTTAAATTGAAATCAAACTCTATGTAATAGATTAGCAAGAAAAATATTCATTTTTTTATAATGAAAAAATAGAAACATATAGGTTACTGGAAACTTCGAGAAAACATGTTACATCTGGCACACATCTATTGGGTGGTGATCTCTCCACACAATTTCTTATAAGCTCCACAACAATGCATTTTTGCGAAATTAAACTTTATTTTTTCTGTCGGCGTTCTTGCAAAAGCTTTATAGTTTTGTTAGTTGGTCTAGCAGGTGGGACCTAAGGTTGACAATGAAAGTTGGATTCAGCCGACATTGAGATTGGATAATATATATATATATAGACTTGCTATAAGATAAGTTTTGATCTTGGACCGGTAAAATCGATTGCTTAATTAATACTCTTTGTGCTTTGAATTTGACTAGCTTGAATTCTTGGGAAAGTTCCATTATACTCTTTATCGTGTCTCATATTCTACATTTGGAATTCCAACTAATACGGGCATGATGGTACGTAGCTATATAAATTAAGAAAGAAAAAAAATCAAACCTTAAGTGGTACGAAACCTTTGGTTGCTCGCCTTGACTGTAGTTTGTAATATTTGAGAGAATTTACTGAAAATAAAGTAATAAATATTGGAAATTTGATATCATTCAAGTATTGGTTGCAATAAGTTGTTTTGATTCTTGAGGTTTTGGTTCTGAGTGAAGTTGTGGTGATGAGTTAGGGGATGGTGGATATGCATTAGATTAAAATTACATAAACTTATTCCAAAACTATTTTAAGAATATATTTATATTATGTTTTTATTTTCATTCGTATAATAAATTATGATTCTGTTATTTTTGTATCTATCCCTTCTTTCCCAAGACACTATTTTATTACAATATTAGTAACTTTGTATTAAATTTAATGATCTTTGTGGGGTTGGAATTAAAGAAAATGCTATATATATGTAGGATAACCTTCAGTCCCACAATATTTGACAAGTCCATTAATTTTTATTGAATTTATATATGGTTAATAAAGGCCTTCACGTATCATTTGTTTCAAATTTTAATTGTTGACATTTAGGATAAAAATCCCAAAGACAAAGGAGATTAATGGAGAATCTAGATTTAACGGTTATTATGGATCAAGAAATAATTAAGATCTAAGGGCTACGAGAGAATCATGGATTGGACGGTGCAAGATAAACCATTAAATATTATTTCATTTTTCTTCTTAAACCGATCGAAATATATACCTTTTGATTGTTTCATTTGATCACATTTCATTGCAAAAGATTTGGTTTGCGATTTAATTACAAAGTAACTATTAAAAGAAAAAGAAGTCGGAAACGTATATATCTAAATAAGATCAGCAAGACAAACTGATTAGGAAAAGGGATATATATATATATATATATATATATATATATATATTTATATATATATAACAGGGAATATATATATATATATATATATATATATATATATTAAAAGAATATAAAATTACCTTAAAATTATTTTAAAATATAGTTATTTTATGTTTTTGTTTCTTCTTATAAACTAAATATGTTTATATCTCTTCTATTTTAAGAGATTAACCACGCACAAATAAAAAAAATTGGATAATTTTAATCTATTGCTTCTTTAAAAATATAAAATAGACAAATAAAATTGTTTCCATCTTTATTTTTTTACTTTATTTTAAAAAATATATCTCATATTATTATTTTATCCCATTATTTAGGGAACCGTAGTAAAAAAAAAAGAGATTATATTATAAAATAAAATTAAAAACTAAGAAAAAAAGGGAGAGTAAAAGTGTAATTAAGTACCACCGGCCTAGGCCTACCATTAATACCGAAGCCACACCTAAGCAATTTTGTCCTCATGCCAGACCACAAATGCCACGTGAGCATCTAGTAGGACTTTTTCTTTATATGTCGGCAGTCTTGCAAGCTCTCTAGTATGGTTAGTTGGTCAAATATGTGATCTAGGGTTAATTAAGGTTGATTATGAAATGGATAATATTTATTTAGTAGCAAGATAAAGTTTTGATTTTGAACCAAGAAAATCAATGCTCGTTAAGGTTGTGAATTAGACAAGATTGAGTGTTTAACGGATGTGTTTAAATTAGTTTGTGTTTCATTTGTGATTAAGTTTGTTTTTTTTTCTAATTATGATTTTAATATAATGCATCTTTGTATTTTGTATGATATTGTATTAATAAATATTAATAAATCTTATTAAAATCTTGTTATAATTAATATTTAGATTTTAAAAACTAAGAAACAAAGTATAGTTGTGAGTTTAACTTGTATCATGCTCCCATGCTGTGCTGTGTTCTTTAATTTGAATTTATTTGTGTTCTAATTGAAATTTTAATGAAGCATCCTTGTATTGATATTACACATTGAAAAATTTAATAAATCTTTTAAATATTGACATCGGTACGTTTAATTAAAATGCCCTTCTGGAATATATCATCATGCTCTCATATTGTATAGTCTTAGATGTAAATATTGACTCATGATCTGTGGAGATATAGAGATGGATTCTGCTCAGCTAATGAGAGCTATTGCGGAACATCCATCCATCCATCCATCCATGATCATCCAATGTTACAAAGTCTTGAAACTAAAAAAAGAAGAAGAAGAAAAGCAGCTCATCATAAAAGATAGAGCGCCTGCATTTACATGGTTATGGAAGCCTTTGTCCATGGCTGTTGATGCGCGTCTAGAGGTGCTCTGTAACTCGAGAAATATACTTCTTAGGACTTTCAGAGACCATGCATGCAAGTTGCAACACTATTGTATAGCATGCTTTCGGAGTCAGCCGATCGATACTTGATTTGGATATATAACTTTTCTGATTTTCCTCTACATTTGTTTTAAGTTGGTTCTAAATTGTACTTGCAAGATCAAAGACATAATCAACAGTTGCTTGGTAACAAATTTGACTATGAACTCCAATTTTGAAACCTTCCAAGTTCTGATGCCTGTCGAGATCAATTTACGGCGCCATTAATTTATGCTTGAGAGGTGAACCCAGCTATAAAGCTCTTCATAGACCATTTCATGTCGGCCTTAGCACCATCTCCTAATTAGATGGTTCTCTGTTCGGAACAATAAAAATGAAGATAACATGTATAGAACAAAAGATATATTTTATTATTTTTCTTGTTTTGAAATAATAAAAATTTATTCTAAAACTAGTCCATAAAGATATTTGTTTTATTTCTATTTCCGTCTTTTCATTTATCAATAAAACAGAGAGATATAAATTAGAAATTGTGTATACACAGAGAATAATAGTTTTATTTACAAAATGAGGGATAAAAGGTCCTCCCAGACTTGGAAGAAATTAAACTCAAAAGAACACTATCCCACTTCATGAATATTGGGGATATTAACAACCAGCAAACTGTCACAAGAAAAAAAAAAAAAAAAGAGCTAAAAAAGACTGTTTTTCCTCTACAATTTGACTAATTTAGAAGGCTACTAGCTCCACAATCCACCAGCTTTAAGCGGCAGATGGGGCGGTAATGTAGTGAGCAATACCAGCTTCTGATAGCGCCGCCAAGAATGGTTGCACTTCAGCTCCAGCAGCAGCCACCACAGTATTCTTGCAGTCCAAGGACTCGTCGTGGTAAATGTCCCACCATTTGTTAACCAGCATCTTGATGTCTTCTCTGTCCATGTTATCTTCTTTTCCTGTGTACCTCCATGGCTTGGACCCCTGGAGTAACATGAGAATTAGCATTGCAGTACTTTATGTCCGAAAGGATAATTTTTGTGTTTTATATGTGCATGGTGAATACTTACAGCAGCACAATAGTGAACAACTTTGACTTTGTCAAGGTTGATGTTCTCAGGATGGCGCCATAACAAGGCCAACACAAGGTTGTAATCTGAAGGAATTGGCTTGTAAACATCCCTGAAAAACATGTTCAAGAAATCCTGCCAAGAAAAGGAAATTAAATTTAGAATTTCTGCCTGATCAATTTTTCCTGCCAAGAAGCTCTGACCAAGATAGATAAATATGTACCTGCTCAGCAAAGAGGGTAGGAGGGGTGACTTTGAGGGTCTCCAGGAGGTCATGATATGTAGACAAGTTGGGCTCATAAACAAACATGCCAGCGTTGAAGTAGAGAGGAGGCTTAGGACCCATCTCCGCAGGCCAATGGACCTTATCGGGACACTGTTGGCAGTAACCAACCTTGTACTGGGGGCTATTGCACCATGTTTTCTCACAGAAGCAGTCCATCGCAGCATAGAAGTAGCCATCAGGCATGTCAAAGAGGTGGTCTATGTTATCAAACACTTGGATGTCACCATCCAAATATATCATCTTGCTATACTCCACAAACTGTAATAAAAGAAAACAATATTTAGGAGTTACATATAACATAATACTAGTAAGTGTTACACGGGCATACATACCTCCCATATACGAAGCTTGGAGTAGTTGATGACATAATAAGCCATAGCAAACTGGGTCTGGTTCTCCGGTGGGTTAACAGGCTCAATCTCCCTTACTAGGCACCCTTGAGAGGCAAGTATCTTCCGGTGCTCCTCAGGAACGTCAGGCAAGATAGCTACCACCAAAGGGTAGTTGCTCTTTGCCTTCCTCAATCCCTTGGCTAACCCTACAACACCTTTCCAGTAGTCTCCATCACCAGCCAAAAACGTAACATATGCACAACTTGAAATGCTAGCTTGCTTGACAAGGGAGTTGGTGTTGTTAGCAAGAGTAGCAGTAATATCAGGAGCTATGGAGTCAAAAAATGTGATGTGCAAAACTTTTTAGTTGTTTTTGGTTAGAGAAATCAAAAGTCTTTGAAACAAGTTGTTTGTTTACTAAGAAAAGAAGAGAGAATTTCAGGTTGCACAAACTGTATTGCTTTGATCTTTGAAAGGTTATGGTTGAGTGAAGTTCTTGGGATGAGAGGGGGTGTATATATAGGGATTTGAGGATGCATAAAATTTTAGTTTCTTTAACATAAGTGAAAGATAATTAATTAATTAATTAAATTTATGGAATTATAAAATCCAGAAAAGTCCTCATTTGACAAGTCCATTTCTTGCCTTTAAATGGGATAAGTATTTTTTATATATAAAAAAGTTAATGACTTTATAGTTGTATAAAATGTACCATTGTATATGATTTGTTTTTTAATTACAGGTAAGCACCGACGTTTTAGAATGATTTTGTTTATATTATTAAGTAAATGGGTAATTAAAATAATTATATTTTGATTACCTACAATATCCAAACACCACCGACCAGGGCCTACCGCCTACAACAAAAAGTCTAAAACAACGGGGACCCACTAAGATCCCAGAAGGAAGTCCCACAATATTTGCCAGGTGGAGACACCGTGGGACACGTGGAGGGCAGAAACACGTCTGTCTTTTAGCTGTGGGGCATGTTAACTGGTCCCACGAAATCTAATGCGTGTCGAGATGCATGGGAGTCATGGTTCCCTTCGATAACAAGTGTCAAGATCTGATGTAAAGGACAATTATTTTCCACGTGGCGAAACGGGTTGCCATGAGAGGAACCGACGGTTCAAAGGAGCGCAGGTGTTTTTTATTTTCATACTTCCTAATGAGAAATGCTCAACTGGCTCTGGTCTGCCCAAGAGCAATGCCGTCTATTAATCTCAAATCACAACCAATTTTTAGCATTCTACTGAGGTCCTCAGCAACCATGTTAAAGAGAAAAGGAGATAAGGAGTCTCCTTGACGAAGTCCTTTTTCCATGGAGAATTCCTCTATAGGAGAGAGCCATTTACTAGAACAGATACGCTGGCTGTATAAATACACTACTTGAATACACTGCTTGATCCATCCTCTCCGGCTTACCCCAAAGCCCGTACATTCCATGACTTCATCAATATATTCCCAGATAACTGAATCAAAGGCATTGTGGAAGTCGAGTTTGAGAATATAACCCTTTGACTTTGATTTCTTTAAATGACAGATAATTTCAATGGCTATAAGAACACTGTCTAAAATTTGTCTCCCATTGATAAAAGCATGTTGGACCTCGCCAACCTCGCCAATAATTTCAGGCATGGCAGCCTTTAACCTATTAGCTTGCAAATTAGAGATGATCTTGTACAGGCATCCAATCCGGCTAATTGGTTTGAAATCCTTGAGTTTATTAGCACCAACTACTTCTGGGAAGAGAGTAATGAAGGAGCTGTGGATGCCATTAGGTAGGAGACAAAGACAAATAAAAGTCGTCAACCATACCATATATATAATCCCCAATTGTTTCCCATGCTTTCTTTATGAAGAAGAAATTGATCCCATCAGGACCAGGAGCCTTATTGCTGTCACATTCCCAAATGGCTGCTTTTACTTCTTCTAGAGTAAAAGTAGTTTCCAATGTAGAGGAAGACGGAAGGCTTAAGTTGCTAGAACATAAGCTTTGCACAGGATGATCTAATCCTTCTATCCAGTGAGAAGAGGTCTTGTAAAAGAAGTCTTTAATCTTCAAGTCATCTCTTCATCCACTGTGATTTTTCCTGGAATCTATGGATGAAATTCCTTTCTCGGTGGGGTATCAGTGGCTGTTTCTCAAATTCTGTTGATGATATGTGCTACCAATGGTCTTCTATGGTGCAAGGCAGATTCCAGCATCTTTCATGGCAGCTTCTCTTCTCTTGTATTGTGTGGAATCTGTGGCTTCATCGGAATGATGCTACTCTAAACTTTCAAAGCTGTTTTTCCCTGATCCTCCGCAAGTTCTCCTTATGGTTGAAGCTTGATAAAATATCTTCAGGCTCCACTAGTGTGGATATGGGTATCAGCAATGGTGTCATCTTTTACGGAGGAAGCAGAAGCTGACTCCCTTGTATTTTTTTTTCTTTTGCCTGGTTGTCTTCTCCCCCTGTTTCAATCTCTACGCCTGTTTGTTTTTCTGTTCTTTCTCCTTTCTTTTTCTGCTCTAACTCTTGTCTCCTAGGCTATTCTCTTTTTAGCCATAATCTTAATATATTCTCGACTATTATCTACAAAAAAAGTGAGAAGAGGTCTTTATAATATCTAACAGTTTCCATCTTTATCAAGGATGGCTTGGAGATACTTCTTCCATTAACAGACAATGAGAGAATTGCATTTCTGTTTTTCCTTCTAGTAGCGGATAAATGAAAGAATCGAGTGTTCTTGTCTCCTATTTTACACCACTGGACTCTTGATTGTTGAGGCTAAAAGGAGAATTAGGACCAGATGACAACCCATTTCTCCTTGGCTTTTCTCTTATCAAGACTACTAGAGCTGAATTCTGAACATGGCTCCTCTGTGACCTTAATTGAGTAGACTGAATCACTGATATCTACTGGAATTTCGAAAACTGCCATACCATCTCACAATAAGATGGTGAGATTAGTATTTCTAATTCCTTGTCATTAAGGAAAGCCACAATACTGCTATATTTATCATGGTAGGGACTGTAATGCTTTGCTAGAAAAATGCCAGTCCATTTTTATATAGCACAATTAATATAAAATAGAAAATGTCATCAAGTCCCTAAAATTATATATGGAAGCTATTGTTTAAGAATTTTTGGTATTTTTTGGATTCTTTCTCTTTCTTTTTTAAATTGGGTCGATTAAGTACTTATTTTTTAAATAGATTTAAGGAATTTTTTAGAATAATTTTTTTGATAGATTATTAATTAGAATTATTTTTTCTTCATATAAGAAACAACGACATTTAGTATTCCTCAAGGCCCCTTTCGTTTTCTGCCATCTTCCTCATTTTTTATTTCAATCCTAATTATAACAGACCCATTGTTTCATAAGACATCTTGTATACTCAAGGGATTGCTTCGAACCGTGAGAAGATAAGCAATTACCGCTTTCGTTAATGAACTCTCCATGAAAGTATAATCGCCTAAACAGGAGTCCATATACACAGCGTATATATATAGTAAAACATCCAAAATGCTTAAATGTTCTAACAAGTATAACTGAGTAGGAAACTCACCAACAGTCATATGTTCTACAGTACTATCATCATACCGTTACCTTCACACTGTTTGTTTTGAGGGGTTTGAAAGGGAAGGGAAGCGTAGGGCGAGGTACCTCTGGAATTTTGTTTGGAAAACATATTTTAAGATGAAAGGTGGAGAATGACTGCCTTAATCCTTAATACTGTTACTTTAATGAATTGTTTATGGATGAGATTATTATTTCTGATTCCTTTTCAATAAGGAACACTTCAGAGAGGTTCATGGCCGGCCTTAAAGGCCTTCATAATTAACTTCTTGATAAGACTTTAATTTCCAACATGATGGTCAGTGCAAAAAAATATAGCGAAAGCAAAGGAAAACAAGACAAACTTAGGATCCCAAAGATAAATATAGTTACAACACTAGCATATTGAAAAGATCCAAGGTAAGGCTAAGCTATGAGACCAACACACTAAAAAACACCTATAATGGCTGGACAGATACAAGCAAATTGGACAAGTTCGGAGAAAACACATATCTGGACCAAGAATGCAACAAGCAAATAACTGATTCCCCCACCAACAACCGCAACAAATTCAGCAATCCCATTCTAAGACCCTAAGATCTTCTGAAGTTGGAGAACTTACGAAAATTAATCACCAGAAAATAGTAGCAAGTGTCAATGCAATCTTCAATGAAGTGAAACCACCTGCGTCGCCAAGGTGGGTTTATGTAAAGAACTGCTGCAATTGTCAACACCACAATTATGCAACATACCCCAAAGGTCACACGGAAAACATACATGTCTATGAATCCATCATCTTCTCGTTCATCATTAGGCATTGGCTGTGATGGTGATTCTTCTTCACCGCATTTTTTCTGTAACAGAGGTCCACATAAAAGAGGATTACCTTCATAACTGCTTTCATCAAAGGTCCAAAACTGAGCCTTCATCTCTGGAGTTCTTCCTGACAAGTTATTGTGTGCCACACTGGAAACTGCTAGATTGTTGAGGACAGCAAGTTCTGGAGGGATTCCACCATTCAAGTTGTTGTAACAAAGATCCAAGCTCTCTATCTGCTTTAAGTTTGAGATTGTTGTGTGACAAGTTTAATGCATGCAACTCTCTTAAATTGCCCATTACTAATGGGATTTCGCCTGAGAATCTATTGCTGGAGAGATCAAAACCAGTCATGAAGTTGAGAATATTGCCCTTGTAACCATATGACATTCTTTTAGTTGTAAATTCTATTGTTTCTTCTATATTGACGAATCTAAAACTGTTTTTCAGGTTATCGATCCTCCCTAGTAGTAAACTGGTTTCAGAATACATCTTACTTGTGGACTCCAATTGATAGATTCTTTGATGAACAGCTACCGCTTTCTCTAAATTTTGCTTAAAAGGATAATTTTCTATACAGGAGGGTAGAAGACCGGAGAGTTTATTTTGTGAAACATCCAAGATGCTTAAATGTTCTAACAAGCATAACCGAGTAGGAAACTCACCAGCAAAATGATTAGCTTTCAGAAGAAGAACACTCAAGACCGAAAGATTGCCAAACCAATTTGAAATTGGGCCCATGAAGTTGTTGTAATTGAGATCCAACGTGACCAAGGAAGAGCTGTTATAAAATGCATTTGTTAATGGACCGCTCAATTGATTTTTGGATAGATGGACATGTTTTATTGTTGATGGGCTGAAGCAAGATGGTACAGAACCAAACAAATAGTTCTCAGACATGTCCAAATATTTAAGGTTGCCAAGGTCGCAGAAATCTCTAGGAATTGGACCCTCAAAATGATTTCTGGACAAATCAATTGCTTGGGGATATGAAACATTGCCCATCCACGTTGGAAGCATGCCTGATAATTGATTGTTACTGATATCCAATGCACTCAAATGTATCCAATTGGGAGGTGGAAAACCTGATATCTGCCCCGTAAAGTTGTTGCCGTCTAGGTATAGATATAGGAAAGCAGATGAGTTGAAGATTGGAGGAGGCAGCTACTCGCCCAAATTGTTGTTTGATAGCTTGACAAACCATGAACTCTTCAACTGCTCTAGTTTTACTATAGACAACTGATTGTCAGATAAATCCATATATTCTATAGAGCTCATGTTTCCAAAACAAGAAGGAAGGCGACCAATCAGTCCATTCATATGCATCCTTAATTTTGACACATTTGGGAGAACCAAACACATATTTCTTGGAATTTGACCATGTATGTTGTTGTTTGATATATCTATGACATTCATATAAGGATTTGGCTGGTTCTGCAAAATCAAAGGACCAACAAAAGAGTTCTCCCTCAAGTATAGTTGTTCTAACCTCGTGTTGTTCTGAAGTAACCACGATGGGAACAAGAAGGAGTGCTACCTGTCAGTCAATTCATAGCCATCCTTAAGAATGAAAATTTTGGGAATACCAAACATATATTTCTTGGAACTTGACCATGTATGTTGCTGTTTGATATATCTATGGTAATCATATTCGGATTAGGATGGTTTGGCAATTTCAAAGGACCAACAAAGGAGTTCTGCCTCAAATATATTGCTTCCAAGCTGGTGTTGTTTTCAAGTAACCACGATGGGAACATTCCACTGAAGTTGTTGTTGGAGAGATCAAGGTTTCTCAAGTCATATTGGTTATAGAGAAAGTTGGGAACATCTGCATTGAGTGCTTTAGATGTACTATATGACAAGCTGAACAACATGAGTAGGAACTTTGGAATGAAATTCTGAAAGCCAGCTTTGTCTCCTATTAGTGTGTTGTGGTCACATATGAAGAGCTTGAGTTTTGAGTGGTTCATGAAGGACATAAATGAAAGTGGGACTTCAAAAGTGGTTAGTTGATAATGAGAGGAATTCAAGGGATTTGAGATTGGTAAGAGGGCCGGAGGCAATATTTCCAGCAAGCCGATTTCCAGAAACATCTAATAGTTGTAGAGATGACAAGTTTCTGAAACAATCTGGGAGTGAACCCTTCAGATTATTCCAAGAGATATCTAACTGCTATAGATTTTTCAATTCACACCAATCTGCACAATTTATCTGTAATTTGTTAAAACTAGTGATGAAGACTTCATTTAGTTATTGATGTAAACGTGGGCAGGAGTTGTTAATTTACCTTATGCTGGTAAGGTGCTATTGAGATCACAACCACTTAAAGACAGAATTTTAAGCGCTGAAAATGCTCCAATATTCTGAAGATTGTTTGTTGGGAAAGAACTGCCGTCGAGTATCAACTCTTCAAGGGTGGTCGAATTGAAAAAACTCCCTGTGAAAAAAAAGCAAATATGATGAAAATGGTAGTGATACAGAGCAGCCATTCCATTTTACATCAATTTTACTTATACTTGATACAAGGCCTCAACTTATTTCATTAAGACTTCAGGCGAATGAACTATGATTAACCTTGACTTATTGACGTCCCGCTTAAATTAGTTTCCTTAAGAGAAAGGGTCCTTAGGGATGGCAATGCTCCCAATGACAGCAGCAAAGTACTTCCGATGATGGTGAGCTCGTTCAGACTAAGGACCTCCAACTTCCTTAAACCTGTAATTTGTCCAGTTGAAAGGAGACGACAATCAAATAAGCAGTGAAATTAAGTGTTGTGAAGATGAATTGGACACCATCTTTGTCATGGATTATTAAAGAAAACACCAAATTTGATTACCACAAATAATTCATAAATTATTTTGTAACAAAGACAATATCCTTGTTGAAACGCCAAACACCAACCTAGCTTATCCCTTTGAAGAGAACTTACTATATAGATTGTTTTGATCTGTGATTTTCAAATTTCACATGGTATAGTCAGGCTTTATTAAGTCGGAGCTTTTGTGGTGCTAACTGCCATAAAATTATTAGACAGACTGTATTTAAAAAACAAACCTACAAAATTGAGGGACTATTTTTTATATATTTATAAAAAACCTACAAAATATATTTTTTCAAAACTTATATATGTTATTCTAAAAAATTAACTTATGATGCATTCTAAAAGATATTAATAATGTACATTAAAATCCATGGATATTAATAATGTTAGTTTGATGGATTTTAATTGATTAAGGTTGTCTGAGCTCAAGATTGTACTTATTACCTAATTATGATACACAAAATTCCACATAATAAAGCAAGTTATTTGAAGTTGATATACTCATAACTGCTAGTGAATATAATAAAACCATATTCTTGGGGTCTTATTCCATGTAAATTTTAAAATTTTGGATTGATATGTTATCGAGATATTTAAACATATCAAACGGTATTGTTGAGAAATGAGCTAATTGAAATGAATTTTGGGTAAATAAGCATGTACCATTTAAACAATGAATTTTGGGTGACTTATGCCTAATTAGCTAGAAGAGGCCAAGAAATATTCACAACCTTACCATTGATAGTCGTTGATCCTAAGAACATATTGCCCGATAGATTTAGAGACTTGAGGGATGGAAATTCACACAAATAAGATAAATCGTTGTCGTTGAATCTATTATAGCTTAGGTCAAGGCTCTCTAGTTTCCTCAATTTTGATGGTAGGGCCTCAAAACCTGCAAGAATGTTGTTGCTATATGTAAGTGGCAATGCCTTAATTATAATATGCAAAATAAAAGGTTAAAATCAGCTGCCTCTTGGTAAATTATCCCCTACCATTGATATTTGATCCTCTCAACATATTATATGATAGATCCAAAGACTTGAGGGATAAAAGCCCACTTAGAATTGATGAGATGTTGCTGTTCAGTTGATTGCGACTCAAGTAAAGGTTCTCTAGTTTCCCCAGCCTCATCGGTTGGAGTTGAAAAGCTACAAGACACGTAAAAATGATACATGAATGCATATTTTATTATAAAATAGGCTGTGTACAGTTCGAAGGTTAAGGAACGAGCCAGGTTGTTTTATGCCTTGAGATAGTGTTTTTGTCAAAAAAAAAAAAAACAGAAGAAGAGAAATGGAGATGTACGACTAGAACCCAATGATAGATTGGAAGTATCCATTCTATATACCTGTTCTTCCTCACTTGTGATTTTTAAAGTAAACTAATGGAAAATATTCAAAGCTAGATAATTAAACGTTACCATTGAAGCCAGCTGATCCTGTCAACTGATTGTATGATAGATCCAAAGACTTGAGAGATGAAAATCCAGTTAGAGTTGAAAAAATTCTATCATTGTATCCATTCATCTTTAGGCGAAGGCTCTCTAGTTTTCTTAACCTTGATGACAAGACTTTGAAACCTGCAAGACGATTCTCAAGAGCCTGTTGGAAGGAAATAAACGTATAGAAAAAAGCATACAAAAAGGAAAAAAGGAAAAGCTTCAAAGTTAAATTATAATTAAATTATTACCATGGAAGTCAGCTGATCCTTTCAGCAGATTGCTGGACAGATCCAAAGACCTGAGAGATGAAAGCCCATTGAAACATGATACAAAATTATTGCTAAAACGATTACCACTGAGGTCAAGGGCATTCATTTTCCTTAGCTTAGATGATAGGACTTCGAAGCCTGCAAGAGAAACTCAAAGCAAAGTAATTAACATTAATTAAACACTTGATCGGTGTAATTTAATCACACAATAATATACATTTATTTTATGATTATAAGAACAGAAAGACTGAACCTTGATTCTCAGAGCAACCAATTAATCTATTTTTGTTCAAATCAAGACTTTGCAATTCTTTAAAGGGAAGAAACAAAGAGGCGTTGAGAACCCAATCGCCCAAGCGGAAATCCCTTGCACCAGAAAGAGAGAGTTGGATCACTCGCCTTGTAGTGTTATCACACTCGATCCCAGACCAATCACAACAATTAGCAATATCCTCTTTATTGGCCGTCCAGTCGCCCAAATGCCCGAAGATGCTGTTTGGATTGATCAAAGCCTTGATCTCCAAGAGACCAATCCTCTCCTCCTCCAAGCACCCATAACAACGACCATAGGTCAATAATGTTACCAACATCCAAACCCACATTTTTTTCATCATTATCTTAGATAATTCTATGAACCACTACCTTTGGCTCTCTTGATGCATTTAATTATATTTTCTTTGCCGAATTGTCAAAAGAGTTGACTTCGGTGCATTATAGACGTGGAATTTTTGGAAAGACTTTGAGTCACAGTAACGTACATTAATGAACGAATGGACAATCACCAGTTACTGATTTTGAATTTTGTATTTTTTGGTAGTAAGGAGACATAACACGAAACAGCCATGAATATTTCCTTGAAGGAGTCTTACCAGCACCGGAACGTCGGTGCTTTAGCTAGGACCACACTATGGATATCCATGCATTAAATTTGATAGTGACAACCCTTGAGCAGAATTGTCAAAGTAAGACATCGGTGCATTATAGAGCTGGGCATGTTGTGGTAAACTTGACCCACAGTCACGTACGTTAATGATCGAATGGACAAGCAACAGTTACTGATTTGATTTTTTTTTCTTTTTTGTAGTAAAAAGCCCATCACCAAGCATCATTATGGTTCTAGATAATAATAAAAATAATAAATAATTCTAAAACTGATGATTGATTTTCACTCGAAATTTAAAAAATGGCTTTTACCAATTATTTTTTATAACATTCTTTCAGTCAAACGTGACGCAATCTAAATAACGAAAACCAGAGAGTAATCTAAATAATTTTTTTCTGGTTTTTCTCTGCTTTTCTTTTTGAAATGATGAAGCCCCTGTGTTCCTCTCCTCTCCGCCTTTCCCTTCCCTTTTCTTTCTGTTTTTCTCTCCTATATTCCCCTCTCAGCGGTTCTTGGCGTGGCTGCTGGGATGAAAAAGATGATGAGCTGACGGTGATGTTGGTGACCAGTTGGGCGGTGGTGTTGCTGCGGTCGCTCTTCCTCTTCTCTTCTGTTTATGCGTTGCTTCTTATCTTGGTTTTTGCCACCTTGCTTCTCTGCTTCTTTTGTTTTTTATATCTTCGTGCGGCCTTCCTTTGTGTTTCCTGAATTTCCCACTGTGTTCTCTCCTCTGTTCTTCTTTCTCCTCTCTCGTCCCCCCTGTCTCGTTCTTTTTTTCTCTCCTCACCCCTCCCCTGGCTACTTCTGGCCTCTGGCTTTTATAGCATGAGGATGCAGACGTTTTCTGCCAACAGAGTAATGGTCGGCGTCCATGGTGGCTTGAGACATGCCCCCTGATTTAAGCGGCTCCATTATAGCTGCTAACGTCTCTTACCTTTAACTCCACAGCTGCCATGTTTTTTAAAAGATAGTGAATAGTGCTTCAATAGAAACGGCGCCGTTTGGTTTCTTTTTGTTTGTAATCAAACCCCAGAAAAATTGTAATTGGGTCCTTAATGCTAGTACCTTTTCTGATATGGTACTCACTTTCGAATTGTTTCAATTAAATTTTTAATTAGCCATTAAATTTTAATAATAATATAATTAAATTGCTGATTTAATTAAATGAATTTTTTAAAATTATAATTGCACTTTAAAATTTTAATTTTTTTCAGTAAAAATTTAAATTGATTTAAAAAATTAATTTTTTAGCCATTAAACTCTCTATAAATTTAATTAAATACTGAATAAAATTTAATTGAACTTATAAATATTTAATTTTGATTTTTTTAAATTAAATTTTTTTATTCAAACTTTCACCAATAAAAAAAATGTACTGTTAAAGTTTAATTTTTTACATTTTTAAATAACCTAAACCGATTTTAACTCTTTTTTTTGGTATTCTAGTATTTTTTTTCTTACTTTTATTATTTTTTTAATTTTTTTAAATATATATTTTTATTTTGTATGGAAAGCTAAAAATAAATAACAACAGAAACCATCATTTTCTCGTTCATCATTGTGCATTGGCTGTGATGGTGATTCTGCTCAACCGTATTTTTACTGTAAAGGAAGTCCACATAAAAAAGGATTACCTTTATAAGTGCTTTCTTCAAAAGTTCCAAACTAATATTTTCTTTTTGAAGTTTCACCTGAAAAGCTATTCTGGGGCACACTAAAAACTTCAAGATTGTTGAGTACAATAAGTTGTAAAGGGTTAACACCATTTTGTAAGAAAGATCTAGACTTTTTTTTTTTTTTTTGCAAGTTTGAGAATGTTGCAGCGATAGATCCAGTAAGATTGTTGTCTGACAAGTTTAATGCATGCAACTCACTTAAATTTCCCATTTCTAATGGAATTTGGCCTGAGAATCTATTGCTGGAGAGATCAAAACCAGCCCTTGTAAGTACATGAAATTCTTTTAGCTGTTAATTCTACTGCTTCTTTTATTTTTGCTTTCATTTCTTCTTTTATATTGTTGTCTTCAAAATTGCTTTCCACGTCATTGATCCTATTAGGTTGGTTGTCATTTCATGTGCAACAAATGGATGGCACCAACCATTGACTATTGGTAGCTACCATTGTTGAATGAGCTAGAGTTGGT